TATCATAAAATTTAGCCTTCGATTCAACGTCGAGATAAATATTATGAAAATATTCATCTACATTCATTCTTATTGTATCTTACCTGTTCATATATATTTTCCGCCAAATCAATAACCTGAACCAAATCTAAATTTGGTTTTTGTAAATTTCTACAAAGTAGTGAGCTATAGGAAAATAATTTATTGATGCAAATAGCAGCAATGATAAACTCTGATTGATCAATTGAATTCCATAATGATATCGCTTTTGACGACAGACACATTACTTTTTTTTCATGCTTAGCCTTATTTAATTGTATTTCTATTTCTTCTGTTCTACAAAATGGAAGTAAAATTACTTTTTTTCATGCTTAGTCTTATTTAACTTTTGTATTTTTATTTTTTCTGTTCTACAAAATGGAAGTAAAAATGAAAAATATTTAAAAAATTATAGATATTTATTATTAATTAAAATATTATGAAAAATACTTATTAATTTTAACTCACTAATAATTTTAAATTTAATAAAATAATTTATAAAATATTAAAATAAATTACCGTTTGATTTCAATCTCTTTGACTAAAAATTTTTCCATTTTATTAATATTTTTGAATAATGTTAATGTAAGGAAAGAAAATTTTAATAAAATTTATTTATAAAAAATAAGCTTTATGTTGGAAAATGGATATTCAAATATTTGTAAAATTTTGATGGGGGGGGGGAGATTTTTATTAGCTTAAAATGATATTTATGAAAACAGTCAAATTTGCGATGGGGGGAATTCCACCCCCCCCCCCACCATTGGTTACGCGCCTGTAAAGGGTTATAAAAAATTTTATCTACTTATTTTTAAGCGAATCACAAACTTTTGTTTTTAGAACTTGCGAAATTTTGTTAATTGAGTCTTAGTGAATATTTCTAGTAGAAAATAAAAATAAAATTTTTTGCTAAAAATTTTAAAATAAATCATGTTGATTCAATTAAAAACTTATAATATATTTTTCACTCCTCTTCCTAGTTCTCGCAATTATATTTATAATTATAGTATTTAAACTAAATATTGTTAAAATCACACCAGTTTCATTTAAAAATATTTTTATACATATTGTAAATTTAATTAATAACAAATATTTGTAAGCATACACAAAAGATCGATGGCTTTTGTATTTTCTTTGTAACAAATTTTAACTGAAAAACATCAATTCGTCTTTCAACCTTGACAATAATTAGTAGCTGGTAAGACATTAGAATTTATTTATTTAAATTTTAAAAAATCATATAAAAATCATTACTCAAAAAAATAACGATGTAACTCGCGTTACTCTGCAAAAATAACACCTCTACACTCATCTTCTTTGATTAAAAAAAATAAATAAATTGTTTTCCTTTTTCAATAATCGATATACATTTATTACTCAAATTCCGAAATTCAAACAAATAAATGGATTGTATTGATTTTTATATATTAAGCTATATATGCTGATAATTTAACGATTTTCATGGTGATTCTTTTTAATTTATATCATTTATCTCTCGGTAACGTTTTTTCTATACGGAACACCCGCTCATATGTGCTGAAAATGGTAGGAGGTGTTTTATATCCTATATATAGGCTTAACATTTGCTATTATTAATATCAAGTGGTTTGGCATTAATGGGAGGAAAAGATAAAATTCATAAATTCCAAATTAGGTATTTCCTTTTAGCCCATAGGATTTAATCAACTCTGCATCCTCCATAGATAAATTGGTAACTTGAGCAGGTTAGTCATAGGAACGGTTGTGACGCTTCTATTAATTATCAAATTTATAGCGTTAAGACGTTGATCGACTTAGCTATATGCAGTTTAAATCGTCTTTTCTTTTGTAATCTACAAGAAAATTATATTTCACCCATAAATGAGGCTGTATAATGTAGAACTCTATATAAAAACCAATTGTAACTCTCAATCGTTAATTTCAAAGACCAAGATTACTACTAGGAAATGACGTATGAATCGACTTAGCCTTTCATTTAGAGGCTAAAACATATATACCTAATGAATAACCCAAATCTTACTTCTGATAGTTTCTTCAACCGTAAAGGCCTGTCAAAAAAATGGGCATAGCGATAAATTGGATATTTTTTGTTAAAACTTTTTTACAAAACGAGCATTTAGAAGGGAGTCTGAACATAGTTTATTCCAGTATTTCCTTTCAAACGAATGTTTAACCTTGATATATATGGCTAGATGTACCCCTTATATCATCTCGTATATGATAAACAATTGAGAATTGCCATTGGTTTACTGGTAAATATTCTTGCTCTAAGTCACAAATTATATAATTTTGTAGCTCTTAGCTCCTTAATAAAATTAAATAAATTTAAAATCTCCAATGACGTGGTATTTTGGTTTTCTAAAAAAACAATTGAAAAATTAGTCCTTTGGGACTATGAAACTTATGGGACAATTTTTTAAAACCCACTTCCTCTATTAGGTAGGATTAGGGTTGAAGATCAGAGATAGAGTTAATATATATAAAAATGAGTGTTTTATTTAAAAAACAAAAAAATTGAAGTAATTAAAACCATTTTGAATACAACACGGCACTCAATTGATTTTGAATAAATAACGCACTATATTATTATAAACCCGATTTTTATCAAAAATAACATTATTTATGACTATATCAGATACTTGCATAGGTACACGACCCGGCCCTTATTTTTAATTTTTATAGATTATAATGGCGATTTAAAATATTTGGCAACAGCCCTGCCCGGGTATTTAAATTTTTTTTAGGCCCGGACCACTTATAAAATATAGCCTGGGCCATGTACCCACGCTAGGTCCGGGCCTGCAGGTCTATGATTTATATCTAGTAGAGATCTGCAAAACCCAGTCCGTATGCGCCGGCAAATTTTTAATGCATTATAAGGAACCGATTCGTGTATCAAAAATAAACAAGCCGGGCTGGACAATTCATACATAAAAAAATTGGGCCAAGCCTCACAAATTCTGATTTTTCGTACAATTTTATTGAGCTTTAAAATTTTGAATTTTTTTCTGAAATTCAAAGCATTTACAAAAAATTAAATAAGTTATTTTTGATATGATACAATTAAATACACAATACAGATATATAAACACAATTAATTTACAGGGGCGTCAATCTCAGGGGGATCAACTAAGCCCCCCATACTCCCAAATTTGCATAAATATTAAACATATCTAAAAATAATATTTTTTTAATACAAAATCTATTTACAGTAGACAATGTTTTATAGAATTAACTAATAAGAAGAAATTTATAGGCCTTACCAAATCAAGAATTCTTTAAGAAGAGAATATAAATGACCAATCTAAATCATAAAACTATATGGTGGTTAGAGCTTTTTCTTAGATTACATGATGTAAGCTAGATAAGTAATCGTGAAAATTATTGTGAGATATTAAATTTATAAAAGATTCTCTTCCATTTTTAATGATATATAAACGACGAACAGTTGATTATTATTGCTTATCTAAAATATGCAATCATGCTTTCAGCAGCTATAGTAAAAATTATTTTAAATTACATAGCCACACAAATAATAGATGCTGGTTAATTTATAGTCATAGCCATGACACTCATGATGGTAACCCATATCAGAATTTATTATGTTAGATAAATTGATTGATGAAACAAAAACACTAAATCTTTAGAAGAAATTATGCAAATATATTGAAACCTTGTGTTATTTACACGGCAAGGATGCCATATTAGAAATGAAACATTTTGTAACGATAAAATAAGACCAGAGTGATATCATGATAGCAATTAAAATTTTATATATTATTGTCGCACCATCTCTAGTTGGTATATTATATCTTAAAATAATAGTAGTTTGTAATAATATCTAAAATATATTCGTATTAAAAATTTAACTCAAAACTGTTTTTCAAAAAGAAAATAATAGCTTTTCTAAAAACACGTAAAAAAAGTGAATAAAAGATATCTAATTTATTACATCCATTGTGGGATGAATAATAAAATGTATATTGTAAAAATATTTTAAATAAATAGATGGCGTTAAATAGTTGAATGCAAATTGTTACTTATATTTATTATTAAAAGCATTTATTAGTAAAGTTTTAAAAATATTAACTGTAATATATTATAAAACTGTCAAATACGTCTGCAAAAGTGGCATTTTACCTAATATTTTATAAATAATTATATATAATAGAGGATTATAAACTATATGTCTACTTACTTTTTAATAGATTTGGACCTTGAAAATAATTTTAGAAAGAGACATGATAATTAAATTTAAAAATCAATAATATAGTTGATTAGTGTGATGTTAATCTTGGCTAATTACAATATTAAATTTGTTAATTTTCAATTAATAAATTATTATATTTATTTTAGTTATATAATAATTTAAATAATAGAAGTCAATTAAGCTTCTTCTACTGTTAATGAATGCCAAATTAATATTTAGTGAGTGATATTGATATTCTATTTTTAACACAGAATTTGATTGCAAGTTGACATAATGAAAATATAATTTATATGTATTAATCTAATCTAATAATTAAAATAGTATTCATTTAATAAAAAATTAATTTTTAAATAATAAAATAAAATCTATATATTACTCAATAGAATTATAAAAGAAATCGTTCAGGGAGCAATTAAAAAAATTTATTTTAGTTTAAGGGGGTATTAAGGAGTCATTAAAAAAAATTTCTTCAGGGGGCTATTCAAATTTTTCAGGTGGCTCGATCCCCTGCGCCCCCCTCTAGCGACTCCACTGTTAATATAATTAGATGCAATTTTTTTTACATGCAATAGAAGATTAGAAAAAAGAATTATTAGGATGCAACCTTAATTGATATGCATAAATTAATTCCTTTCTGTCCTATTTATATTCAATTACGTTTCAAATTATCCTTCCTTTCAATGCTATAATTTTCACTTGAATTATATTAGGCACATAATTAGTTATATGTATGCAATAATTTATTAATTTATTTAAATATATTTGTTAAAAGGATTTGATCTCATTGACCAAGGAACTGACTCAAACCAGGGATGGTTTAATGGAAAAGGAAGAAGAGATCTCAGAATTGAAGGCCGAAAGAAATAATACCAGGGCAAGTTATAGGCTTTAATTTTTAAATATGATCAACCTAGATATCTCAATTTTAAAGAAGGAAAAGATATACCCAAAATATCAATTAAATGAGCGCTAAAATTTAGAGTTTAAAATGACTAATTTTTAAATCAATATTTCCATTTTCATTCTTTAATTTTTGTTTACATTAACTACAGCTGCTCTTAGAACACTTGGAATGTTTGGTATCCCGTCACGAACGTTCTTTGCGAATGACGGTGGTAAAGAGACAAGCCTCTTCTCCCTCTGGCGTTTCTTCCGAAGTCGAAGTACTTAAAGCTCTCAAATCCTTGTTTGAACATCATAAGGCCCTCGATGAAAAGGTTAAATGGCTATTTATATAGAGTGTAAAACTTGCTCTTCACAAGGTTGCCCCTAATTAATGACAAAACTAGTTATGACTATCTTCTTATTGGCTGCTAAAAAATATACTACATTTCCTAATAGCAGCATATCATTAGAATGAGTTTGGAACATGATCGCTACTCTGATTTTCATCTAAAAATATCAGATTGGATCATCTGGAAAACCGGTAAGGATGTAAAGCAATATATCTATGATAAAAAGAATAATCTTATAAGTGAAAATAACAATTAATGTATTTTTCAATCAATAATAGAAATTCAAAAAAAATATTTAATACTCGAAAATAGTGGTATTTTTGATAAATAAATTTTTTTTTTCTAACATGAAATTTCGATAAAATGGAAGAACTTTGATTGGTAATTCCATGACAAATCAACCACGGCCGACCCCCTTCGAAAATTGGTAAGTAAAGAAAGGTCAATGTAACTAAGAAATAGCCAAATTTTTGTCTCCTAACATTTATATTTTTGAAGTTATTAAGGTTCAAAGTGGCAAAATGAAGTATTTTTACCATTAGCGTCAGGGATCCAAACCGAAACGAATATCGGTTCAGTTCGGCTTCAGGTTCGGGTAAAAATAACGGTTCAAGGTTCAGGTTCGGTTCGTAAAAAATTAAAATATTGGTTCGGTTCTAACCTCTAAGAACCGGTTTGAACATTTTTGTATCCATACCTACATTCGTATCATTAATTTAAGAAACACATTATAAAACCTTCATTTTTTTAATTGCACATTATAAAATAATATTTAATTTATAAATATAAATAAGAATAAGAATAAGAATATCAATGATTAATTTTAATATGAACAATATTTTACTTAATTTTTTTTTATTAAGCCGCACAATTAATATATTTTCAAAATTCGTCTCACTCAAATTACACTATGAGGAGATAGTATAGATTTAATTGTTGAAAAGCATCTTTCCACACTGACTTGGGTAGCCGGCACTGCCAATATGATATCAGATTTGATGTGTTATTTATAATAATATTTTGGATTTAATTTTTCTCTAGGCATTATAATTTACAAGCTTAAAATATTTTAAAAAAATATTGTAAAATGACAATATACTAAAGTTTATAAAAATTATGACCGACACTTATCAATTGTGATTGATGATAATCTTTAAAATAATTTGAATGCAATTGAAATTTTTTCAATATACTAATAACTTACATATTGTTTTATAAGCATAAAATCATGAAACTCGAACCGGTTCAGAGACATTATAGCGGTTCAGGTTCGGCTAGATTTTTTAGCAGTTTAGGTTCGGTTCAGGTTCGATAAAAAATACAGGTTTTTAGCGGTTTAACAGTTCGGTTCTAGTTCAGTTTGGATCCCTGCCTGCCTTCATTCAATTTAACATGTCTTAAAACCACATAATTGTAAATAATAAATATAATATCAAAATAACATACAAAGATTTTACTTTTAGATAAAAAAAATTGTTTTTCCAATTTCCAGCCATTTTATTTAATATATAATATAATGACTAAAAACAATTTTTTGGAAATAATACGACCTTCAATTTTTAAATTTTTTTTAGTAGACATTACTAAACTATTCCTTTATATTTATAAAAAAAAATTGGTCTGGGACGCGGCCATCTTCATTTTCAAAATAGATAAAAATGTTTAGAAAAGTGTATTATTTTTCCGAAAGGGGACATCTTTGTATAAAATTATATATTAATCAGTTTTTAATGTTTTCTTGAACTATTTGATATAATTTAAAGGATTATTCATCTTGCAAGTGAAAATAACAATAAATGGGGCTTTCATTCAATTATAGAAATTGTCTATCGATATAGAAAAATCAATTTATTACTTTTATTTATTATAAAGTTTTTTGCCCATATAACATATATTTAATGAATATTAATAAAATATATTTAACCAAGTTTATAGTTCTTGAATGTATGAATCAGAATCTTGTGCATTTCATATATAGAATATTAAAAAGTAAAGATTTGATATAATATCTAACTACTTTTAAAAGATTCTAATTTTTCTGTAGCGCATTTACTTTCTTGTGACGACAATGTATAACTACGGCCAGTGCAGTTAACTGTGAAACTAATGTTGAGATATGACATTTTGGCAATTAAAGAGTGTCGTCTATACTTGGAAATGTAAAGGAATTAGAAGGTCCGGATTGGTGTAAAAACTTTATATATATTTCTTCCTGCTTTTAATTTTTCCCTAAAACAAAGGCTAACTACCAATTAGAATCATAAACACATGTTATGTATCCTGATATTTCTCCAAAAATTTACTTTCATCATTATATGATAAATATTCTATAGTGCTTTCTATTGAATTGGAATACATTTTACTTTTAAATTGATGTAGACTTGTTGGAATCACGATGTGAATTTTCTGTGTTCCAGGTATAGGCCTAGTTTTTGAAAATCTTTCCCTGGGTAATAGTTCTTCCTAATCATAATTTTTTTGGGTCATATATTCAAAATATATGCCATTAATATTTTCTTTAGCGAACTCGTACAATACATATGATGTGGTTATTTGCGTTGAGTAAGGGCTAACTATCTCTAGCGGCTAATCTTTAACAGTGCCACCAATCCCATCTCAAACACTTTTACCATGTGCTATAGCAGAAAAATGTCATTCCGCTTGTACCTCGAAATCTATCTCATGATGGCAAATATTAATAAAATTTTTGCGATTTTTATACTGTGCAATGGGTCCATCGAAAAAATAAAAAATTTCATTTGGCATACAAATTTTATTAATTAAAAATTTTACCAATGTTTTTTGGGAAAAATGTACTGTTATTGTATTGTGTTGCAAAGATTCGGATATCATTACATAATTTAGGCAACAAATATTGGCAAAATTATCTTTATAATATATAACAAAAGGGTGAACAGTGGATTGAGCTCTATTCCAATGATAACTTTGTACTTCATCCTGAAGTATAAAGCTATAGTTTTCTTAAAAATCACATAAAATTAAATATTGGCCTTCGTATGATACAACGATTGTTGCATTGAAATAAAAGAATGGGGTAATAAAGATTCCATTTTTTCAAAAAAGGCATTGATAAATTCATCTACTGGCTTGGTTATTGTTTCAAGAGTTCTATCTACGGATAGCCATTGTTTGTATGTTATAAATTCGATGTCCTTAGAACGAGACAATATTTCTAATGTCGCGTAAATGTGTTGACCCTGGACAATTATCACATTTGCCAATATAACAAGATCGGAGGCAGATTACAAATTATTAAGGGTAAAATATGTTTGTATGTTTTAAAGGGCAACATATCATTGGATAAATTGGGAAAGATCCAATGATCATTAATTTAAAATTTTGTGGTAGCTGCAAACACATTCATTATGTGCACCTCTACCTCCAACGAGTATACAATTTTTTAAGCGAATGTTTGCAAATTTCTAAAAACCAATTTTAACATCAGGCCTCATTTCTTTAAAAAATATATTAATTTCTTTCAAATTATCTAAAATTAATCTCGTTTGTATGGTATTCTTTTTTCCGTCTTTGGTCAAAATCGAAACGCAATCTTTCTTGCCTGGCATGATTCTGCTTATTTCGTCCGTACGATAAAATTCTTGTACAATTTTAACTGTATATTCGTCCATAGTTTTTCCAGGCTTGGGGTTAGGTGTTGATAGAAATCCCTTTTCCGCTATCAATATTTTAGCTTGTCATGCCATGTATTTTATTGTATTAAATTCATTCATTATTTTGGACACTGTCCAATTTTCTGGTAATATCGGCAAAATTTTATATTTATAAGTTTTAGATAAGAGTGGGATTTTTTTAAAATATTGTTTAGAATATCATCATCTTTATCGATAGTAGCTGGCTCAAAATCAATTTAATATTACAACATAATAAATACATTTAAAATCTAAGAAATGTACAACCATGAATGATATTTCATCCAGATGATAAGATGATATATGTGATAAACGGAAAAACTCCCAAGTGAAATGATTCATTTGTAGACCCTGATACAAATCATGAAGAGAATCCCACTATGTGGGGAATTTTCAATAAAAGAAAGGTTAACCGAAAAAGGATATCCTATTTAAAAAAATTAACAAGATTTAAAAAAGCGATGGAGTCTCTTTTAGATAAGATGATGATATTATAATAAATATTAAATAAAATTCCCACCCTTATCTAAAACTAACAAATATAAAATTTATATGATATTTCCGAAAATTGGACGGTATATAAAATTAAAATTGAATTTAATACAACATATTACATAGCATAACAAGCTATATTACTGATAACGGGGAAAGGATTTTTTTCAACACCTGATTACAAGCCTGGAAAAACTATAAACTTTATACAGTTAAAATTGCCATAATGTTATTATAGAGACGAAATAATCATGCCAGGCGAGAAAGATTACATTTCGATTTCGGCCAGAGACGGGAAAAAGAATACCATGCAAAAAGATTAATTTTAGATAATTTGAAAGAAATATATATTTTCTTAAAGAAATGAAGCATGATTTTAAAATTAGTTGTTAAAAATTTGCAAGCCTTCGGCCAAAAATTTGTATTCTCGCAGTTGAAAGTGGTAAGCATAATGTTTGGTATTTGCACTAAAAGGTTAAATGAATGATCATAGGATCAAATTTGCCGAATTTAATCAAAGATAATATTAATAAAATTTTTATACTGTGCAGAATTTTTTTTATTTGACATACTAAATTTATTAGTTAAAAGATTTCTACTAATGTTTTTTGAAAATTATATACTGATATTGTGTTATGTTGTAAAGATTCGGATATCATTATGTAATTTAGGCAACATATATTTGCCAAATAATCTTTATAATAAATAACAAAAGGGTGATAATAGATTGATCCCTATTTCAATGATAGCTTTGTACCTTATCCTGAAATATAAATTTGATCTTTAAAAATTACATAAAAATAAATATTGTCCTTCGTC